ATTTTCCTAAGGAGCATTTTTGGACCTCACACACTTACTAGTACCCAGCAGGGACAAGGACCTGAAGAAATACATCAAGTAGGCTTGCAAGGATTTCCCTAAAGAATGGACCAATAATGGTGTACTTCGTACTCTAAGCCCCAATACTATCATGATAGTTTTCTAAAATGGAATTTTTCTAAGGAACATTTTTTTCATGCTTCTTTAGATTCAAATGCAATTTTTAGATGAGATATAAAGCTTAATTTTATGAGCATTATTAAGCGAAACAAGCATTTGACAAAAAGGCAAAATGCTAGAGCTTTCGCTAACGGTTTCTTGTGTGTCTCACGTTCCGAAAATTGATGTGCCATCAGAAAAAAAGCACAACATAAGCCCCCAAAAAGCCTGACTAGTAGTAGGCCTTGACTTGTAGAGCCGGCTATTAAAGAGACTAGTGACCTCTGTAGTCAGAACACAAAGCCGGTAAATGGCATAATTCATGAGGCACAAAAGATCATTCTTTCAGCTTCCTGTAAAGCCGATTCATCAAAGCCTGCACATACAAGAGCCTTAGGCCATGTTGAAAGCCCTGTTTTTATGCAGGAGTGTCTTGGACCCGTGTTGGTATTCCTGCCAAGCCCTGCTTCAGAGGCAGAAAACCTTCTGCACCTTGATAAGTGCTGGTCATTATTGCCTCTCCGATTGACTTTTCCCCTGTCATCTGGCACAGCAGGGGACAAACCAGTAGATATGGGGATGGGAGGAGAAGAGATCATGTTTTAATGGACGTTCAATTGATTTTATAGTACACGTATGTTAAAAAGGAAGAGTTTGCGATATCTTTCAGTTCATAGTTGAAACAATCATAGTACAATGCAGTGCAAGGTAGCATGTGTTGATGGTATAATGTAAAGAGCACACTGCAAAAAAGTAATGACATGAAACTAACCTTGGATATTTTACAATTCACTGTAGGTTTTGAGTGATAAACTTTGAAAGAATGAAAATACTGACCTTGATCAAAGGTAGGAGACTTACAACTGTACAAGATACAAAAAAAATCAAGCAACTGGATTATATATAAATTCTCACAGGAGTCAGATGTTTTAGTAGATAGCTTTTATCATTGACTGAAAATGAGTCTTAAAACAAGTATGATCTATATGATATATAGACGTTTACACTGTCTTGTCTTCAGATTCATTCTCAATCATTGATG